GCGGAACAGCTGGTAGTTTCGAACTGCTGACCTTAAGGTTCGCAGCCAATTCGTGACCACTACGCGGCCAGAGCTCCTTACAGAATGGGTTGTTGTTGTTGTTGTTAAGTGCCGTCGAGTCGGTTCCGACTCATAGCGACCCGTATACGGTTTCCGAGGAGTAGCTGGTGAGCTTGAACCGCCGACCTAGCAGTTCAAACGGCTTTGCAGTCTGGTGCATTAACCCACCACGGCAGCGCCACACCAGGATGGGTAGGGAGGGAAAAAAAATAAAGTGAATAGAAGTAAATACTGTTAACTGATGGTACGTGGCATGGATTGCAATCATTGTAGTGACATGAAGTATATTATTTTGTTGAATGTGGGCTGATAATCTGTTTTGTAAACCGTCACTCAATATACAATAAAAAGCTTTATAAAAAACACCATGAAATCCAGGGAAGGCAATGGAGCCCCTTTATCCTGTCCTACCCACCTAAGAGAATCAACTATAGGCAACTGTAGCAGGGAAAAAAGAGCGAGGTAGGGCTGCTCTGGATCAATATAGATTTGAGCACATATAGCCCCACTGATCAGTGACCCCACTTTTCTGCTCCTTTTAAATAAAAATTTCTGAAAAATTTATCTACACCGCTTCACCTCAAATTCCTTTTCACCTATTTCTATTTCCTCCACTCCATCAAGGCAAGCAATCACATCCCTTTAGGACAAACCCCCTTCTAAGACTGAAACTCAAAGGGAACACACAAGCAGGCACATATTAGCTCACTGGTGACCGCATTGGTCTGTTTATGAGTGGAAGTGGGGGGAAAGGCAGTAATGAAGACATGGACTGAGTTCGACCATGTTCATAGACTCCTGTCGGCCTTGAGATGAGAGAGAAAGAAGAGGAAGGGCTGGCTGATCCGAAGTTTGGGGACACTTGGGAACCACTGAGCCCATGGGCACTGACCTAGCCACAGTGGGCTAGAGGTGAGAGTGAAGCGTCCAGCTGATACGAAGTTGGGGGAGGCACACAAAAATGCCCAAGCTTGCAGATAGTACCCATTTGACCTAGCTTGGATGGCTTGATGATCAGAACTCAACTAGAGGAAGATAAAGAAGTTTGATACAGGAAGCAAGTATAAATTGCTACAATTTGATGAACTTGACTATCTTATGGATGTAGTAGTTCAAAATACCAACAAAGAGGGAAGGAGTCTTCTCATCAAGGATCAAGCCTATCCCCTCCGTACACCGGGCAGATAGAGACAGGCAACTTAGACATTGGCTACCTAAAATGGGGGGCGGGAGCTATAAAGGCACAAAGTGGCTGGCTTATAAATTTTCAAGAGGGAGTTTAGTTTCAGCATGTGCAAGGAAGGCAGAATCCCCACTGAACAGCTTTCATCTTGTCTAGATGGGTCTGAAGAAAGGAGAAGGCAATAGGATTCTTTTGATTGCCCTGCAAGGTCAGCAGTTCGAAACTACCAGCTATTCCATGGGAGAAAGATGAGGCTTTCTGCTCCCATAAAGATTTACAGCCTCGGAAACCCTGTACAGGGTCGCTATGAGTCGGAATCAACTCCACAGCACATAACCACCACCATCACCAATTATTATCATGACTAATTGCAATTGTCACAGCTGTAAAGGTAGAAGTAAATAACAAAAAGGGGGGAGTAGTTATTCTTACAATTCAGAAACAGAGGACCCTAGGACCATCAAGAGAGAAGAGTAAGAGCAGAATGTTGGATCCTAACCAGAGAAGCACTGACACCACAGAGGGAGACAGAGGTGATGTCATGGAGAGATAAAACAGCTGAGAACTCTAGACTCATGGAAAGAGAATGACTGTGTGCTGGCAGGCAGTAGGCAGGCTTGCAAAATGTGTCCTTTTGGTGTTTAAAGTATCATATATTCCTGTGTGTTTTTCTGTACATTAAAAACACACACACACAAAGAGGGGATAGAGGCAAATACTGTTAACTGGTGGTGCATGGAGGGGATTGTAATCATTGCAGTGAAACAAAATACATTGGTTGAGTACAAAACTGATGTTCTCCCATATAAACTATCACAATAAAAGCTTAAAAAAAAAAAAAAGCTTTGTAAAATTGCCCAAGAAAGGATAAGAGAGAGGCCTGCCTCTGGACATGGTTGGTAAGAGGCTGTCCTGACTGAAGAACTGTGTCTTAAGTGCTTCTGATCCTGAATTGTAACCTGTTAACTTCCCTAATAACGCCCACAGTTATGAGTGGCCATTGCAATGCATTATCAAATCTAGCTGAGAAGTAGAGTGCTGAGGGAAGGTCAGTTGGTATCAGAACTGGTAAGAAAGGTTGGATGGTGGAGGCATGTCTGACTTCAGCCTTACAGGAATCAGCCTTGGTCTGGTTCTGTGGTGATTTTACTTGCCTCATGTAGATCTGAAGGCGTTCAGACGCCATCCCCATGCTGGTTTTTGGTTTTTTTTTTTACAGTCCTCAACAATAGTTATCTGTCTAGGAAAAACTTCCCAAACCACTCTTCCTGACCCCCCAATCCAACAGTCATATTCACTCCACTATCCGGGAGAGTGCAAAAATGCACAAAACTAGATAGATATGCCTCTACTAATGTGAATTTATGTTTTGTTGTTGTTAAATGCCATCGAGTCGATTCTGACCCATAGCGACCTCTATAGGGTTTCCAAGGAGCAGTTCATGAGTTTGAACTACTGACCTTGCAGTTCAAACTGACTTTGCAGTCCAGCGCATTAACCCACGGCACCATATTAGGACTCCAATGTGAGTTTATATTTGTTGTTAAGTGCCGTTCTGACCCATAACAACCCTGTATAGGGTTTCCGCGAAGGGGCTGGTAAACTTGAACCCCCAACGTTGCGATTCAAACTGACTTTGCAGTCCAGCATATTAATCCATAGACAACTGCAAATACATTCTACAGATCATGTGGTTGGAGCTCTCATTTTACACAGGAGAAAATTAAAATTCAGAGAGGTCAAGTCATTTCCCAAGGTGGTTATTACCAGGGTCTGTACTAGAACTCTGGTGTGGACTATTGGTGTGGTGCTGTGGTTTAATGCACTGGACTGCAAGGTCCGTTTGAACTGCAAGGTCAGTGGTTGAAGTTCACCAACCGCTCCTCAGAAACCCTATGCAGGATCGCCATGGGTTGGAACCAATTCAACAGCACTTAACAACAACAATACTAGAACCCAGTTCTATGGGTACCTCATTCAGTGCTCTCCAGAGTAACTCACTGACTCATTCAATCTTAGTCTCCTGCTATATTCTAGAGATTACATTCTTTAATAATAGTTTCCACATCTCTCTATGTCAGTGTATAAATCTATATGCCTGTGCCTGTGAGCATGCATGTGAATGTCTACGTGTCTCTCAGCAGGTAGTAAAGCATATCACTGACTGTTGACGGCCTTTCTCCTGGGGAAATCTTTAAATCATTACAGTTTTCTCTGTCAGCACCAACGGTGAAGTCAAGGGAAGGACTCCTGTGTCAATCATTAATAAGCAGACTTGGTCCTTTCTCCAATCAGCTCTATTCCTGGGTCTTTAGGAAATGGAAGAAAACAATCAGGGTAGAAGCAGACTTTCCTACAATCAAACGGGGTTCCAGGGAGTGGAAGCAGCTAGAGAGTGGGTTATAAGGAGCTGCGACAGATTAGCTGCTTATTGTCTCTTCAAGGTGTATGTTCTCAAGCTAACATGGATACTCTCTTGGTCTTCAGTCTAATCATTGCATCCTATGATGCCAACAAGAAAGGTAAGTATATCTCTAGCCTGATAGCCTAGAAAATCCAGAGCAAGCCCCTCTTAAGTAAGAACATGGGCTCTCTTCTTCCAGATTCACTTCAGATATCACCCCATGTATCCTTTTACCTCTAAGCAGGACTTGGCAACTTATTAAACCTAGAGCTGTCTGTTTCACGATGAAAGGTCTTCAGAGAATGGGATGCACTCTTCTGTCTTGTTCATGAATTACCATTAAAAGTCCTTTCACCGTTGGATGGTTTTATTTACTTAGGGTGCTGTCAGTTTCCGTATTGTTAACACCAAAATACTTAAATTCATAGACCCTCATAAAATGGTATCTTTTGCTTTTTAAAGTGATTGTTGTTGTTAAGTGCCATTGAGTCGGTTCCAATTCATAGCGACTCTATATAGGTTTCCCAAGGAGCAGCTGGTGGGTATGAACTACCAAGCATACAGTTAACAGTCCAGTGCTTATCCTTACAGCACCACTCCAGGACTCCATTAAGGTGATTTGTTGTTGTTGTGAAGTGCCTCGAATCGATGCCAACCCATTGCCACCCTGTATAGGGTTTCTGAGGAGCAGCTGGTGGGCTTGAACCACCAACCTTGCTGTTCAAACGGCTTTGCAGTCTGGTGCATTAACCCACAGAGCCACACCAGAATACATATATTCAAATTGTCAGATGGGATGCTTTTAGATGGGAGCACTGAGGGGCAAATTAGGGTCAGGGTGGAATGGTACCATTTGCTACTTGTTGATAACTTTATTTAAAACATTCTGCAGAGTTCTAAAACATTTTATCTATAAAATTAGCTAACTTGAGCCATGGCCAAACAGCATAATGTATAGCAGTAATACATTTAACAAATGCTGAAAGCTCACAATATCCTTGTGAGTCATGTGCCAAAAAGCATAAATAAGTATGACTTATGATACAGTGGAAACTTATAGAAATATTTTGGTATCTAACAATTAATTTATACATTGTTAATAAAAGTTACGTATTCTTTACTATCAAAAGGCAGAACATGAAGGAGAAGAGAAAATAAGTTGTATCTGGGAGAATGGGTTGCTAAGTCTTTTACTTCACTTAATTCTATTTCACCTTTCCCTCTCCTAAAAGTATTAGGTTGGTATTCAGTTTTCTTTTTACTAAGCTAAATCCTACTTTTGTGTATTCGGGTGTGTGTTTTAAAGTCTTTTGGGGTAAGTTTCATCTTCCTAGTTAGATTACAAGTTTTATGAGAATTGCATTCTTCAGTATCTCCACCTCCAGTGCCCAGAATTCTAAAGAAGTCTCCAGTAAATTCTGATCTTTGTATTTTCTACATACCTCAGAATCGAGAGACACCAGCTGCCAAGTGGACCTGCTGCCTAGGCTGTTCCCAAAGGAGATGAGAAACATCAGGGATATGCTAACACAAGGTAGGGAATGGGTCCTTCCTGGAAAATTACTTTGCGATTCCAAGGAATTACACCTTTAAAAGATGCTTTGTCTCCTAGCTTCTAGCACAGATCTTAACTACCTTATTTTTAACACATATTTCCCCTCAGGAGGCTTTCTGGAAACCAACTATAAAAACCCAAACTGATACAAAACACCCCAAACGTACTGCCATGGAGTAGATTCCAACTCATAACAACCTTATATAGGGTTTCTGAGACTGTAAATCTTTACAGGAGCAGACAGCCTCAGCTTTCTCATGGACTGGCTGGTGGGTTTGAACCACAAACCTTGTGGTTAGCAGCTCAGTGCCTAAACCCATAGCACCACCATGGCTCTTTGCTATCAACTAAGGCTATATAAGTCAAACAGATGGGAGGGGGGAGGGGGAAGATAGGAGTCCGGCCCTCAACAATCTGTGACCTGAATGCACCTCAGTCACCCATATTCCTGGCACTTCAGAGTAGGAAGGTGGGAATGCCAGGCTGGTATACTTAGGATTAAAAAACACATGTTAAGGAAAAAGTGAAGTAAAGAGAAGAAGGCGAGACAGTGGAGTTTTACAAGGTTGTAAGTGGAAGTGGTTTAGTTGGGCACCAGTTTAATTTTTTCTGCCTGACTTTTATCCTTCCAGAAGTGAAGGCAGAAGCCCAAAGAACCACATTTGTCCAAAATTGGACTCTGGCTACCCTGCAGTGCTCTGAAAGCAAAGTGAAAGTCAATCTCATGTATTCAAAGAAAAAGCCAAAGGTCAAGTATGCTCTGAAGAACCTGAGAGTCATTGCTGCTCCCAGGAGAAACGGCTCTGCCTCGCCAAGCTGTCACCTAATCCCTACATCCAAATTTCAGACTGGATCCCTTCTGACAGGAAAAGGTGAGACTGGTAAAAGAGAGGAGATAGGCACTGAATTTGAATTGACATCCTTGAAGGCACAGTAGCCACTGAAGCCACTAGGAAACGGATTTTCCTTCCCTTGTCCTCGCTGAGATGCTGTTTTTCATTTTGCTAAGGATCTTTCTAACATGCCGTGATTTTCATATAATTTACATTTCTGATGGCTCTTCTTTTGATCATGGTTATTTGAAATTAAAAAAAAAAAATTTGTTTTGAATGCACATGATATTCAAATAGAACAAGTTTATGGTGAAAAGTAAATATCCCTCCTATTATTCCTCTCTAATGGACAAGTTCTCTATCCCTAAGGCAACAGTTACAATTTATTGTATTTCCTTCCAGAGATAGTCTAAGCAGGTATGGATGTATATATTTAAAAAACATAAATGGTAGCATGTCATACACACTGTTCTGCACCTTGTTTTTTCCCACTTAATGTAGTGTACCGATTGATTCACATCAAGAAGTATAAATTTGACTCATTCTTTTTAACAGTTGTACAGTATTCCATTACATTGTTGTTGTTCTTGCTGTTAGGTGCCATCGAGTTGGTACTGGCTCATAGTGACCCTATGTACAACAGAATGAAACACTGCCCGGTCCTGGGCCAATCTCACAATTGTTGCCATGCTTGAGGCCACTGATGCTGCCACTTTGCCAATCCATCTCAATGGAGATCTTCCTCTTTTTCTCTGACCCTCCACCTTACCAAACATGATATCCTTCTCCACCAACTGGTCCCTCCTGACAATATGTCCCAAGTATGAGAGATGAAGTTTGGCCATCTTGGCCTTCAAGGAGCACTTTGGCTGCACTTCTTCCAACACAGATCTGTTTGTTCTTTTGGCAGCCCATAGCACTTTTAATATTCTCCTCCAACACCATAACTCAAATGCATCAATTCTTCTTCAGGCTACCTTATTCACTGTCCAGCTTTTGCATGCATATGAGGTTACTGAAAATATCATGGCTTGGGTCAGGTCCTCACGCTGACATCTTTGCTCTTCAACACTTTAAAAAGGTCTTGTGCAGCAGATTTGCCTAATGCAATATGTCATTTGATTTCTTGACTGCTGCTTCCATGAGTGTTGATAGCTGATCCAAGAAGAATGAAGTCCTTGACAACTTCAATCTTTTCTCCACTGACAAGAATGTTTATTTATTGGTTCAGTAGTGAGAAATTTTGTTTTCTTTAGATTGAGATGCAATCCATACTGAAGGCTGTGGTCATTGATCTTCATCAGTAAATGTTTTAAGTCCTCTTCACTTTCAGCAAGCAAGGTTGTATCATCTGCATATCGCAGGTTGTTAATGAGTCTTCTTCCAATCCTGAAGCCACATTTTTCTTCATAGGACCCAGCTTCTCGGGATTATTTGCTCAACATACAGGTTGAATGTTGTTGTTGTTGTTAAGTTCCGTCGAGTCGGTTCTGATCCATAGCGATCCTGTACAGGGTTTCCGAGGCTGTAAATCTTTACAGGAGCAGAAAGCTCCATCTTTCTCCCATGGAGCAGCTGGTAGTTTCGAACTGCTGACCTTAAGGTTCGCAGCCCGATTTGTAACCGCTATGCTACCAGAGTTCCTTACAGGTTGAATAAGTATGGTGAAATAATACAACCCTGTCGCACAGCTTTCTTAATTTTAAATCATTCAGTGTCCCCATGTTCTGTTTGAACAACTGCCTCTTGGTCCATAGACAGATTTCTCATGAACACAATTAAGTGTTCTGGAATACTCATACTTAGCAATGTTGTCCATAGCTTGTCATGATCCACACAATCGAAGGCCTTTGCGTAGTCAATAAAGCAAAGGTAAACATCTTTCTGCTATTCTCTGCTTTCGGCCAAGATCCATGGGACATCAGCAATGATATCCCTCGTTCCATATCCTCTTCTAAATCCGGCTTGAACCTCTGGAAGTTCTCTGTCAATGTATGCTTGCAGCCACTTCTGTATTACCTTTAGTAAAACTTTGCTCGCATGGGATATTGCTGTACTATAATTCATTTTGCCAGTCCCCTACTGAAGAATGTTTTGATTGCTTCCAAACTCACAAATACAATGCTATAAGCAATGACCTTATACATTCTTCATGTACCTGTAACTTATCAATAGGATAAATTACAAGAAGCAGGATTGCTGTGTCAAAGGTATTGATTTGCTATTGTTGTTGTTAAGTGCCATTGAGTTGATTCTGACTCATGGAGACTCTGTGTAGGGTTTCCAAGACTATAAATGTTTTGGGGAGCAGAAAGTCTCATCTTTTCCCTTGGAGCAACTGGTGGGCTCAAATGGCTGCTATTGTGGTTCACTATCCAGTGCTTATCCTAAAGAGCCTCCTTGCTCCCTAAAGGTAGTGATTTTTGTTGTTGAGTGCTGCTGAGCTGGCTCTGACCCATGGCAACCCTATATAGGGTTTCCAAGAAGCAACAGGTGAGCTTGAACTGCTGACCTTGCAGTTCAAATAAACTTTGCAGTCCAGCACATTAACCCACAGCACTATATCAGGACACCAAAGGTAGTGATGTTGTTGTTGTTAAGTGCCATAGAGTCAGTTCCGACCCATAGCAACCCTGTATAGGATTTCAGAGAAGCAACTGGTGAGCTTGGACCACCAACCTTGCAGTTCAAATGGCTTTGCAGTCTGGTACATTAACACACAGCGCCACACCAGGACTCAAAGGTAGTGATAGACATTGTTCAATTATCCTTCATAGAGGTTTTTCCACTTTGCACTCCTGTGTGAGATTGCTTGTTCTCTCCACACCTCCTAGACAATGGTTCTGGACCTTCCCCTTATATTTTTCTGTTTCTGCTCTCCTTTCCTTTTTCCAACCATTCTTTTTGTCAAGTTGTTTTATTTTATTGATATTGACAGTTCCCCCTTTACAAACAAGTAATACCCTAGATGCTATGCTACTGCTGCAGTACTAGAAAAATAAAACACAATTTAGCACTTTTAGAGAAATTGGGAATTCACATGCAGATTTATGTGAAAAAACTTTTTTTAAAATAATTTTTATTGTTATTGAATGAGGGTTAACAGACAAGAACATCAGCTTTACTTTCAACTAATCATACGTTTTTATTTCATTTCAATGATTATAACAGTTATCCTGCTTTCACCTCTTGGCTTCCCTTTTACTCTAATGGAAAAAAAAAACAAAAAACTTTTAAAACTATAGTCAATTTAGGTACTTGTTGTTAAGTGCTGCTGACTCAGTTCCAACTCATAGTGACTCTGTATAGGGTTTCTGAGGAGCAGCTGATGGGTTTGAACCACTGACCTTTTGGTTAGCAGTCCAGGTACAACCAGTGGTGGTGGTTGTGTGCCATCAAGTTGGTTCTGACTCAAAGAGACCCTGTATAGGGTTTCTGAGGCTGTAAATCCTTATGGGCTAGTAGTGTAGTGGATTATGTGCTGGGCTGCTACCTGCAAGGTCAGTAGTTTTAATCTACCATTTGCTCCTCAGAAGACAGATGAGGCTTTCTGCTCCTGTAAAGATATATAGCCTCAGAAACCCTAATCAGGGTCCCTAAGAGTTAGAACTGACCTGACAGTAGCAACTACCACCACCACCAAATGTTTAGGGGGCCAGGAAGCCTCATCTTTCTCATCGTGGAAAGACTGGTTGACTCAAACTGCTGACCTTGCAGTTAGCTGGCCAGTTTGTAATCCACTATGCCACCAGGGCCCCTTCCAGGTACTGATGTTGCTTCTGTTAAGTGCTGTGAAGTTAGTTCCAACTCAATAGTAACCTTGTATAGGGTTTCCAAGGAGCAGCTAGTATGTTTGAACCACCGACCTTGTGGTTAGCAGTCCAGTACTTATCCCACAGAACCACACCAGGACTCCTAGAGGTTGGGAAATAAGTGGGTAGGATCTTAGGGTCTGAACCCGAACAGTAAACTCATATGACCTGAATATTTTCACTCACTTGATTATATTTTCAAAAATCCCACCAGTGGTCACTTGTGTGAAAAATAAACTCTTAAAAACTCATTAAACTTTCAGTCACTTAATATTAAGGCAAATGAATCTGAACAGTTTGCTTTCCTTTTAACATGTGACACCCTTTTAGTTAATGGCAGTTATGATGGGAAGTTATATTGTTGTTGTTTAGTGCCATCGAGTCGGTTCTGACCATAGCAACCCTGGATAGGGTTTCCAAGGAGCAGCTGGTGAGCTTGAACTGCCAACCTTGCAGTTCAAATGGGTTTGCAGTCTGGTGCATTAACCTACAGAGCCACACCAGGACTCAGTGTCTGTCCTTAAAATCAGTATGGAATCTTGAGTACTCTATTGGGATAATTTTTCTTGACCTAGTGCTAGGCATTGTGTAACTCAGGACAAATAAGGATAACAGTACTCAGAAATTTGGGACAAGGAAAACTAAAAGTTGAATGTGGGGAGGAGAAATGCCAAAATCAACTTGACCTAATTAAAATTTTTGCCTTGGGCTACTCTAGAATTCAAGGACAGAAGAAGATAATTCTTTCATCATTCCTTTATGACTTGGTTCCTAGATCCCGAATTTGAACCAAGCATATGGCTGCTATGGGTTAGTTTGGCGCCTTAATCATTATCATTCACCAAACAGTCTATGGAATATGATGAATTCCAAACTACCAACTTATTAATGGACTTTTAAATTATAACCCCATTTATAGCTTAAAACTACATATTCTAAATTTAAACCTGCATTGAATACCAGCATGTAATGGACTCCAAATACGGTTGAAATAAAAGTTAGGTAAGTGGTTACACTTACAAGAGCATAAAAGAGATGGGCTTTGAAGTTTGCCATACAATGAATAGTCTGTATAGAAACATATCCCAGAAACAATCAGAAGACAGTCCATCAACATGTTCTCAGAGTAAAACGGGTATTTTAAACTGTAAAGATGAGAAACTTTTCACAAATTTGGAATTTCTCCAGTGCTCAGTTTCTATAGCTAAAATGGAGGGATTTCACTAGATCATCTGATTTTTAGATTTGTAAAGTTTAGATCTCAAAGCAAAAGTACCCAAGCGCAATGTATGTAAGACCTCTCAGATAGCCCTAAAAACTGATAGCTTTATTACAGAATAATCTCTAAGGGAGATTTCTATTTAAATATAATATACTCAACACTCTCTATTTAAAATAAATAATTTTGTAAAGAAAGACATCCTTTGGAACTAAATAATCATCTCCTAAGTTATTAATTTCATCAATTTAGCTTTATTTTTATATCTCCTTAATAGAAGTGCTGGTGGTGCTGTAGGGCAGACATTAGACTGCTAACCACAAGGTCAGCAGTTCAAACCTACCTGTCTTTCTGTTCCTGTAAAGATTTACAGGATTAGAAACCATATACAGGATCACTGTAAGTTGGAACTGATTCAGTGGCACATATCAACAGTAACAACATCTCCTTAAAGTTGGGGCATTCTTGTTCAAATATCCTTAGTCAAAAAAAAGTAAATACCGAAATTCTGTCATCACTGGGACTGAGGTGTTAGCATTTACCAACATGCTCCACTTCAATGCTCAATTTTATCTAGCAGATGAGACCTAAAAGAGATGAGCTGCCAACATGGATGGACCTTCACTTAGAACTGAAAATGCACTGACAAATGAAGCTTATTAGGTGGACTTTGCAACAGTAGCTCCCAGGACCTAGGAAGACTTGCCACATTGAAATATCATTAGCCCCATGGCCAGAGGGCATAGCTTTACTTAGATGAGAATCTCTATATTTGTTCTCTTCCAATCACATATCACTGAGTTTACAAAGTGTCTTCACACCTGCTCTCTCATTTATTTTTTTTTCTGATCTTTACAACACCCCTGTGAAATAGGTTATTAAAAATTATTATTTTTATTAAGTATTATTTTATCACAACCATCTTACGATACAATAACAGACCCTGTATAGGGTTTCTGAAAGCAGCTGGTTTCTGAAAATTACTGACTTGGTGGTTACCAGTGTTTACCCTACAGCGTCACACTAGGATTCCATCTTACAGATAAAGAAACTAAATTCAAAGAATTTATGTAACTTGTTTAAAGTAAGATTTGTTTACCTTCATCTCATCTATCTCATAAACCCATATAGCTTATCACTTCAGAGAATTGATTGGCACCACACTGAAAATACATAACATCATTTCCTTGACTTTCCTTTTGAATCTATTGACTCTGTGTGTCTCTGCCTATCTTTGCTAACACCATCTTCGGGATTAAACTGAAATCAGGGACTACTCCTTCCACTGTAATTTCATGTGTAGGGCCCATACTGTGGTGGCTGGCATGGATAAAAAAGAACTATAATTTTCACATGAATTTAATCAAGACGTGAAAGAGTAGTTTGGAAAATTCAAGTCAAATTTACAGACTTTAAGTTAATAGACAGTGATTGTTATTAGTAAGTGCCGTCTAGTCAGTTCTGACTCATAGCGACCCTGTGAGCTTTCCAAGGTTGTAATGATATGAGCCTAATAAAACTGAAATACTAATCACTGTCTAAATTAGATAAAGTCAATTCTGGAGGCAGCTGAAGTTAGTTCTAAGCTACAGTCAGAATTTTCTCATTTGTCATCACTTCTCCTGGTCTGAGTGGCCATCATCACTCATTTGGATTTCTGCAGTAACATCCTAACAGGCTACTCTTGCCTCCATGTACTCTATTCCCAATAGTCAGAGGAATCCTTGACAAACATGTCATCCTGTCACTCTTCTGCTCAAAACACTGCAGTGGCTTCCCATTTCAAACCAAACTAAAAACCTATCCCTACAAGGCGCTATATAATGTGGGCCTCTTCCCTCTAGATCAGAGGTGGTTGTTGTTGTTGTTGTTGTTAAGTGCCGTCAAGTCAGTTCCGACTCACAGTGACCCTGTATAGGGTTTCCGAGGAGCAGCTGGTGAGTTTGAACCTCTGACCTTGAGGTCCAAACCGACCTTGCGGTTCAGTGCATTTTCATGCAGCACCATCCCAGGGGTTGTTGTTGTTGTTAAGTGTGAGTCGATTCCAACCCATAGCGACCCTGTAGAGGGTTTCCAAGGAGCAGCTGGTGAGTTTGAACCACCGACCTTGCAGTTCAAATGACTTTGCAGTCTGGTGCATTAGCCCACAGTGCCACACCACCCCAGGGGTAGGGAATCGTTTTTCTGCCAAAATTTATAACATCATTCACGGGCCATACAAAATTATCTACTGACAAATTAGCCTGCTATATTTGGGCAAACATTTAATTCACTCACCCCTAATGTGATGGTTGGAACTGCAGTTACCTTGGCACAGGGCCAGCCCAAATGATTCTGTGATCTCATACGGCCTGTAGGCCAGATGTTCCCCACCTGCTCTAGATCGTCATCTGCTACTGTTGCTCTTGCTCACTCTGCCCTGGTTTCACAAATCTCCTTGCTATCCTTCTAAAACACTGACATGACAGACACATTCTGCCATGGCCTTTACTCTAGATGTCCTCTTCCTCCCCAAATATCTGCTTGTCACTACTTCCTAGGTATCTACTTGGCTAACCCCCTCACCTGCTTTGAGTCTTAGTTCAAATCTCAACTTCTCATAGAGAACTACCCTATACAGCAGGTTGTCCAACCACTGCCCACCCCCACCTCCAGACTCCTCCCTTACCTGATTACATTAAAAAAAATTTTTTTAGTAGCATTAATCCCCCTTGGACTCCTGGTGTGGCACTATAGGATCAGTACTGGGCTGTGAATCACAAGGTCAGCAGTTGAAACCTACCAGTTGCTCCTTGGAAACCCTATACAGGATCACTATGAGTTGGAACTGATTCAACAGCACTTAACAACAATGACAGTCCCCTTGTGGGGGGGAGCATGGTGGCTCCATATGATAAGCACTGGACCGTGAACCACAGGATTGGCAGTTCAAGCCCGACAACCACTTGATAAGAGAAAGATGAGGCACTGTAGATAAGCACTGGACTGCTAACTGCAAGGTTGGCAGTTCAAACCCACCAGCCATTCCTCGGAAACCCTATTCAGAATCCCTATGAGCTGGGACTGATTTGATGGCACTTAACAACAACAATCCACTTCTAATATAAAATGTATTATGCTTACTGTTGTCTGCTTCCTTGTCTCCTACTCCATCTTCCCTTCCCTTCACTTGTTCTCTTGCTGGAATGTATCCATCTGATACATCCAAAGTACCTAAAACAATGTCTGGCACATAATAGATATTCATTTAAAAATATCTGTTGAACGAATGAAAATGAGTTTAAGAATTAGGTGAGCACTCTTTCTTCTAGATCCTCCTGCATTCCCCAATCTTCTCTCAGAATAGTTCACTTCGATTCCTCAGTTGACTTACACAGAATTGCAGCAATCATTAAGGCAAACCAGGATATTCCACATTCTTCCTTGGACTTTGGAGCCACTTTCTTTAAAGAAGGAAACTTTCAAAAGTGTTACACCCTCCATCCTTCTTATTATTGTGACGTTAAGGATTATAGGTAATCAAGATAAGGCTTAATGCTACATTAGTCAAACACCACGTGGTGGTTAACATGTATATCCTTTGTTGCTGGCATTACTTTTTGCCCACACCCTAAATCTATGAACAGATCAATGAGGCCATAGGTGCATAGAGCCAAGGTTTGTGTCAGGTAAAGTTAAAGGCTGGATAGTGTTCTCACTTGTCATTTCATTCTTTCTTTCTTGTTTTCTAGCTTTTTTACCAGGAATCTCCCAATGTAAGGTCCTCCCAGTGATGGTGGGTTCGTCAGAGATTTTCTTTACCACCACCATTTCCACAATGCTTGGGAGTAAAGGAGAGAGGACTACAAGTACTGAGGAATTTTCTAGGCCTTGGGAACAAGGTACAGAATAAGTATGGTAAGACAGGAATGGAAAGAAAAACATTTTTAGCTCCAACATTAATTTATGTCTCCTAGGATTTTCTTGGAGGTTGAGAAGTTACACAGAGTTACAGTTGAAAATCATTCCACTGGCCATGGGAAAATCAGTTTCTCTACAAAGATGATCCCAGAACATTTTTGTAGGTTCACAATCAGTGATCCTTTACCTCCAGCCAGTGAGCTCACCTGTAGCCACATTTGGGGACAGGACAAATCTTCACGTAGGTAATTCCAGCCACTGTATGCACAAACAGGTGACATCTCACTACTAAACAATCTTAACAATAACCAGGTGCATATTTTCATTTGAACTATTTTTATTTCTTTTCCTTTTTTAAAAAAAAATTTCCTTCTTTAAAAGGTCAGCAGTTTGAAGCCACCAGTTGCTTTTTGGCAGAAATGTGTGGCAGACTGCTTCCATACAGAGGTATAGTCTTGGAAACCCTGTGGGTCAGCCATATAGTTGTTTTTGTTGTTGTTAAGTGTTGTTGGGTTGATTCTGACCCATAGCGACCCTGTATAGGGTTTCCAAGGAGCAGTTGGTGAGCTTGAACCGCCAACCTTGCAATTCAAATGGTTTTGTAGTCTGGAGTATTAACCCACAGCGCCACATCAGGACTCCATAGTTATTATTAAGTGCCATTAAATTGGTTCTGACTCATAGTGACCCTGTGAAGGATTTTCTAGGAGTGGCTGGTAGGTTTGAATCTCTAACCTTGTGGTTAGCAGTCCAGTGCTTATCCTATAGTACCACACCAAGATTCCTTTCTGGACTGCTTTTAGAAACAAAAAACCAACCCTTTGCCTCTGAATCAATTCCAATACATAGCAACTCTGTAAAACATAATAGAACTGTACTAAAGGTTTCCAGGAATCCTGGTGTGGTGTTGTGGGTTAATGTGCTGGACTGAAAAGTCAGTTTGAACTGCAAGGTCAGAAGTTCAAGCTCACCAGCTGCTCCTCAGAAACCCTATACAGGGTCGTTATGGGTCGGAACCAACTCGAAGGCACTTAACGACAATAACAACAAGGGTTTCCAAGACTGTAATCTTTATGGAAGCAGACTGCCACATCTTTCTGCTTCAAAAAGGCTGGTGGGTTTGAACGGCTCACCTTTCAGTTAGTAGTGGAACGCTTCAACCACTGCATCACCAGGGTTATTTTTTGATACTCCCTAAATTGGCCAGAACTCACATTATATACGTAAGATTACATTTGGGTTACACCCCAGTTCCTATCTAGGGTGGGGGGAAATATTAGTTATGACAAGAGGCACATGAGCTATCTGTCCACAGATTTGGCTTATGATCCAGAAGGAATGCCAGCTCACCTTTGTTCCTTCTTATGTCCCAATAATGTCAAGAAGATAGAACATAAGAAAGATGATTTTCTAGTTTTATACAAAGTATTAGAGCAGAAGAGTAGGAATCCCGAGAGGGTTGTTGGTGAAAGGTGAACTTAGGACTCTTTATGCCCCTTGCCTCTTCTTCGCCTGAGTGCAAAATTTAGCCTTATTGATTTGGAAAAATCCCAAATCCCAGGGAAAGTGACTCACTGGGAAGATGCTGTAAAGGAGGTTAGAGCAAAGTTAAGGCAGGATGCTACTTGGCTCCTAACTCTGAGTCTGAATTTGAAATTCAAGTGGGACCTTGTTAGTCTTATGATTCTGAAGACCCTCAAGTCAAAGAATCAATCTCTTCCCTTTCTTAAATGTTCTTTTCTCCCTTTCAATCCTCTCACCCCTTTTAGAAACAGATGAAAGCCTAGAAATGAGGAAGAAATGGAGCATTGTGGTCAAATTTTTTATCGCTTTCACCCTGTTGCTCAGCGGAATCGCCATTATAGTGTTTTCCATTTTTGAAGTCCCATGCCCTGTAAGTTTGTTGATGTACTGGATCCTTGGTCTTAGTCTAGAAAGATCTATTCCAGAGGCAGCTTGGCATATTGAAAAAAGCAGAGTCTTTTGAGTTTGGACATGTCTGTCACTCACACTCACTAGTTGAGTGACTTTAGGAAAATTAACCTCTCCAACCTCATTGCCTCATCTGTTATATGGGACTCATGATACAAGAGGGTTTCAAAATGTCTGTGGAAAAGTTCTATTGTCTTTTAACTTCATTTTTCCATGAACTTTTTGAAACCCTCCTCATGTGTGACTCTTATGGATGGTTATGAAGGCTAATTGAAATTCTGTGTGAAAGGTGCTCCCGAAATGCTAGTTCCTTGGACATTCACTGGGGAAGACCAATCCTATAGAATCCAATATTTTCTTTTTAGAGATGATTTCTTTAAATGGCCTAACATGATGTTTGTCCGATAACCAAATGCATACAAGCCACCTGATAGTAATACTAGTCATCCTCCTCCTTCAGAGTCAATGCCTAGCAGTCAGAGAGTTGTGCCAACACCAGTGGTTGTGGAGCAGGCAAAATAAGGGAGCCAGCATGGAAGACCAACAACCAGGGGAACCCAAAGCACAGCCTGACTCTCAGCCTGAGAAGGTAAGTGTTCTCTATATGGTGTACATTTGTTAGGAACAAATGGTGTTCCTATATAAGTATGGGGAAAGAGGAGGTTGCCTCGGTTATTAAGGCAAATGGGGGTAATTTTTTTTTGCTACAAAATCATAGAAACCTTTATTAAAACAAAATTATCAAAATGTGAAGCTATTGTTTCTTAACATATACTCCATCTAAGTCTGTACACTTCTTTTTTAATCTTTTTATTGTGAGTTGGATGAAGGTTTACAGAGCAGATCATCAGTTTTCCATTCCACAATTCATGTATGTTTTGTTTCATCTCATCAATTGCAATCACCTTATCACTTATTCCACTTCTTCCCCGTGTTTCCACTCCTCCTTCTTTCCTAACCCTTCTCAACTTTGCCGTTAGATAAATGCTGCCCCTGGGCTGTCAAAATGGTTGATTATTCTATGGTGTGCATGCTTCACTAGTTGTTCCGTTACAGACTTGTCCATTGTTGGGTTAAAAATTGAGCGATGAGGATTAAAATGTGGGTAATTTTCTGGAAATTAGCAGGTATGACTGTTTTCCTAACATCAACCCATCCATATGAAAAGAGGGTACTTACTGAAAAGATGTTTTTCTGAATCCCAGACATACTGAATCAGAATGTTTAGAGTAGGATCAGGAATCTTATTTTTATGATTTTTAACAAGCTCCCTAAAAAAGAAGTGGATTTACTGTTAGAGGCTAATGTGCCAGATTGCAAAGTCTTTTGAACTGCATGGTCGATGGTTCAAGCTCACCAGCTGCTCCTTGGAAACCCTATACAGGGTCGCTATGGGTCAGAACCGGCTTGATGGCACTTCACAACAAAAACAACAAATGTAGTTTTAGGCTTTAGGACCCATGGGCCTAACTCATGGTCTTGTATCTAATTTTGTACTTTTAATATTTGTATAACTTTTTAAAAAAAGTTTCTCTAAATTGTAAAAGCTTTAGACCCACAACATTGGTATACACTCCTGTCCACAAGTAACGTTTAATGTATGACAACTTTTAGCAATCACCACACAGTGTGAAAATTTTGGCAAAACAACTTCCTTCTCTACTCTTGAGTTTACTTGATGGGATTATAAATTAGTAGTGTCCTTTCGAGTCTGAAACAGACACAGCCACTGGCTCAATACAGCCACTTTAAATTCATGTTCCTCACTAGCAACAGGCTCGTTTTCTGAATGCTAGAAATTGATGGGTGCCTTCTCTTAGTCTCAAAATATCTGCAATGCTCACTAAGGGAAAAAGATGAGGTATCCAAATAATTCTAAAATTCAACAGGATGTCAACTTTTGTGGAATTAGAATATTAAGAATGGCCATCTCTGTGGAGTTTTACTCTGCACTCACGGGGCTGCCCTGCGTCAGAACTGACTCTATGGCAACTAGCAACAAGGCAACTGTGCAGCAGGAATGTTGCAGTGCTTGAGTCTGTCAGGGAGGAAAACTAGTCCAGCACGACAAATTCCTGGCACACGATACTACTCTTTAAATCTGTGTCTATTGCATATACACCACCACTTACCTGTCAGTTTGTCAAACTGTGGTGGCTTGTGTGTTGTTATGCCACTATACCACTGGTATTTTAAATACCAGCAGGTTCACCCATGGTGAATAGGTTTCAGCAGACTTTCTACACTAAGACAGACTAGGAAGAAGGAGAAGGAGACCACTTCTGAACAGTTAGTCACTGAAAACTGTAGAATATTGTCTGATATAGTGCCGGAAGATGCGCGCTTCATGTTGGAAGGCACTCAAAATGTATCTGAGAAAGAGCTGCCTCCTCAAAGTAGAGTTGACCTTAATGACATGGATGAAGAAAAAGCTTTCAGGACATTCATTTTCTGATGGGGCACACCTCAAAGTGAGAAGAAACCAATGTGAACTTCCATTAATAATCTAAATATAGCATGTATGACGTATGAATCTAGGAAAATTGGAAGATATCAAAAGTGAAGCAGAAGTCATAAAAATAATATCCTAGGCATTGTTGTTGTTAGGTTCCATTGAGTTGGCCCCGATTCATACAACTCTATGCATAACAAAAAGAAACACTGGCCAGTCATGTGCCATCCTCAGAATTGTTGTTACGCTTGAGCCCATTGCTGCGGGCACTGTGCCAATCCATTTCATTGGGGATCTTCCTTTTTTTGATGACCCTCCATTTTACTGAGCAGAGCCCTGGTATGGTGCTGTGGGTTAATGCGCCAGACTGCAAAGCTGTTTGTTTGAACTGCAAGGTCAGCGGTTCAAGCTCACCAGCTACTCCTTGGAAACCCTATACAGGGTCGCGTTGGGTTAGAACTGACTTGATGGCACTTCACAACAACAATAACTTTATTGAGTATGATGTCCTTCTTCAAGGACTAGTCCCTCCTGATAACATGTCTGAAGTATGAGAAGCACAGTCTCCCTATCCTGGCTTCTAAAGTGCATTCTGGCTGTTTTTCCCCAAACATATATTGGTTTGTTCTTCTGACATGGTGTTTTCCAACACCATGACTCAAATGCATCAATTCTTCTATGGTCTTCCTTATTCATTGTCCAATTTTCATATGCATATGCATATGTTGTTGTTGTTAAGTGCCATCACTGGTACTTACTCATAGCAACCTTATGCACAGCAGAACAAAACACTGCCCGATTCTGGGCCCACCCTCACTATTGTTGCTATGCTTGAGTCCATTGATGCTGCTACTTGGCCAATCCATCTCGTTGGGGATCTTCCTCTTTTTCTCTTACCCTCCACCTTACCAAACATATACATATGAAGCTACTGAAAATACAATGGCTGGAGTCAGGTGCACCTTTGTCCTCAAATTGATCTTTGCTCTTGAACACTTAAAAGAGGTCTGATGAAACTGATTTGACTAATGCAATACATCATTTGATTTCTTGACTGCTGCTTCTATGACTGTTGATTGTGGATCCAAGTAAAATGAAGTCTTTGACAACTTCAATCTTTCCCCCACTTATCATGATGGGGCACAAATCAAAATGAGAAGAAACGGCTGCAAACCTCCATTAATAATCTAAACATGAAATGTTTCAAGTATGAACCTAGGAAAATCAGAAATTGTCAAAAATTATGTTATTGTTCCAGTTGTGAGGATTTTTGCTTTCTTTACATTGAGGTGCAATCCATACCGAAGGCCTTTGATCTTCATCAGTATTTGAAGTCCTCTCCACTTCCAGCAAGCAGGGTTGTGTCGTCTACATACCATAGGTTGTTAAAGAGTTTTCCACCAATCCTGATAGCATGTTCTTCTTCATATAATCTAGCTTCTCAGATTATTTGTTCAGCATACAGATGGAATAAGTATGGTAGAAGAATATAACCCCAGTGCACACCTTTCCTGATTTTAAACCATTCAGTATCCCCTTGTTCTAAGACTGCCTCTTGGTCTATGTAAGGGTTCCTTATGAGTACGAGTAAGTGTTCTGGAATACCCATTCTTCACGATGTTATCTATAGCTCACCATAATCCACACAGTTGAAATAATTTGGATAGTCAATAAAGCACAAGTAAATATCTTTCTGGTATTCTTTGCTTTTAGCCAAATCCATCAGATGTCAGCAATGATATTCCTCATTCTATGTCCTCTTCTGAATCTGGCTTAAATTTCTGGCAGTTCCCAGCTGCTTTGAAATTATCTACAGGAAACATTTACTTGCATGTGATATTAATGATATTGACTGGTAGTTTCCTAGTCCATTGGGCCACCTCTTTTTGGAATAGATACAAATATGGATCTCTTCAAATTGGTTTGCTAGGTAGCTGTTTCCAAATTTCTTGGCATAGATGAGTGAATGCCTCCCATGCTGCAGCAGTTTTCTGAAACATTTCAATATTGAGTCGGTACTGACTCAATATTCTATCAATTCCTAGAGTCTTGTTTTTGCCAATGTGTTCAGTGCAGTTTGGACTTTTCCCATCAATACCATCGGTTTTTGATCATATGCTGCCTCTTGAAATAGTTGAACATTGACTGTTTCTTTTTGGTACAGTGACTCTCTGTCTATTCATTCCATCTTCACTGTTGTTTTGTTTGTTTGTTTGTTTTGGCAACACTCATATCAAGCACACTTTAATGACATTTGCTGACCCTGCACACACTTCACAGGCCTTTATGTCCCACTTACCAACAATGAGTGACGTGCCCACCTGCACTACAGCCAGAACTACGGCATATGAGCTGTACTCAATGACTGCAAAGCACCCACTAGCTGTTGAAGGAAGAGTCCTCACTCCTCAAGAAGTGTGCTTCTTGGTGAAAAAAATTTAAAAGCATTATGCACATATAGGCTATATGGATCATCCGTTTGTTGTGTCACAGTGAAACAAAAAATGCATGATCAGAACAGTGCTAAAATTGGACCAGATATGGGAATCTCAGGAAAAATTTTGACCTTTGATATTTCTGAGCAGAAATTCATGGAATATCTTATTTTTCCAGTTGCTATGTATTGTCATCATGCTTACCTCTTGCTCCCCAAATATGGTCTGGGAACCTCAGAGAGAAGAAAATAGCTTCCACGGCTCCACACTGCTCTTCAGGTCCACACAATCCCACAGGTCCCTAACAGCCTTTCCAGATGTGGGAGAAGCTAGAGACTCCCTCAGACGGAGAAAGGATGCCCATGTCCACTCTCAGTGGTAACTCCTGCTCCTGCTCCCATGTTCCTTCCTCACCAGCAGTTGTCTTTTCCCTTCAAAAAGCAAGATGCTGGCAGCCATGGTCAAGTTCAAGCTGTCCACACTTGGCACGGCAGGGATCAGCAGCCTCCTGCCCTTCCCCTCGCTGCCTTCCAATGCTCTCAGTCAACTGTAGAGACTCCTGGCTCACTCCATGATCTTGTCACCAATGACGACAGTCACTGGCACCTCTACCCAGTCCAAGTCGTAGCTCTAGACCTACAGGTCAGGAAGCCAGATTTTCTTGGCTCCTGTTTCTAGATCTTCTTCCTCCTCATACTTGTGAAGCTATGGTCACTAGCTTTGTTAGACCTCTGAGCCTGGGCATAGTGGCCACAGTTGTCAGCCCCATAGATTCAGGTGTAAGTGGGCAGGTAACTGGGGACTGCTTCCCATTCTAGAGTGTTAATAATGAGCACCTGGAAATGTGTACCCATGCCCACTCATAGCACTTTAGGATCTCAGGCACACACACAGCCTTCGGTAATACTTTGGCGCAGTTTGCCTCAGCAGCAGACCTCAGAATTGTCCCCAGGTTCTCAGGGTCATGGAAATTGTCACAAATCAACAATAAATGCAGTGAGTGGTGAAGCTGAGTGACTAGATATGTCATCTTAACATGGTCAGGTTTAGCAAAAATCTCCATTATTCCTTGTGGCATTACCATGTTGGACCAGTTCTTGATATCCTCAAATTTACCTTAATGAGGCTGACACCTTTCATTTTATTCATAGGCAGTTCCTTTCTGTATTCTAGACAGCTAAAGAAGAAAGTCTTTGGCACCAGCCTTGAGAACACAGGCAATCAATCTGCAACCCTCCAACAAGATCGTCCTTCCCTTTTCCAGAAATGGCCTGGACTTAACTACAATCATTACAAGGCTGAGTACTGGCCTCAGAAACTGCCTTCAGGGCTGCTTCTCAGGACCAGGCTTAGGTTTCACAACCTGACCAGATGAAAACACCACTTTCATGGGACTCCTCCACAGTGCCTGAACCCAGTGACTTATATTGCCATCCCAAGTCTGAACCACTGGCAGCAACGGTAGTATGGTACATCCCATAGCCTTCACCACATCATGTGAGCAGGCCAGTGGCACACAGTGATATCAACAGCCCAGTTGCACCTTTTGCAAATGGTAGTGTTGCTATACATGTCTCCTTCCATTTTCTTTTGATGCTTCCTGCATCACTGAATATTTTGCCCATAGAATCCTTCAGTGTTGTAAGTTGAGGCTTGTAGTAGTTTGTTGTATATACCAAGTTTGTTTAGCCATTCTTCTGTTGATGGGCATTTAGGCTGTCTCCACCTTTTTGATATGTCTCTTATAGACAGAATATTGAAGGACCCTGTTTTCTTATCCATTCTGCTCTTTATGTGTCTTGACTAGTATTTAATCTACTTACATTCAATGTAATTATCAACAGGAATGAATTGATTGTTGTCGTTTTTCTGTGTGTGTTTTATGGTGCTACTGGATTCTTTGTTCCACAATCTTCTACACTGAGTTAATTTCGTTTGTGGGTTTTCTTTTCATTTTCATTTCTGTTGTGTTCATGTTTTCTAAATCTTTCTGATTTTCCTCCTTTTAGAGAAAATTTGACGTGCAGGTGTATTATTTTTCTTTAAAGTTACCCTGTAATTTATTCATTTTTTCCCCCTGTTTAAAACAATGTTTTGTCTTGAAGTCAACTTGACTTCCTTGCCAGTTGGAAGTTCTGTATCTATACAG